CCGTATGACGCGCATGCACCGAGAACGAGTTTCAAAAAAATAAAAGAAAAAAGAAAAAAAAAGAAAAACAGAATAATAACGAATAATTAAAACGCGCAACGCGAAAACGAAAGTGTCAGTTGGGGCGAGTTGTGTCGTTGCTGTTCTCCTTTCTCTGCTTCGTTGTTAAGCTCGCGCGGCACTAAACCACTCTCGCGGACTAAAATCGCCTGGAAGCGATCCGTCGCGAGACACTCGTATCAAATCTCTCACTTTGGCTCCATATCCCGCGATTTTCGATGGGTCGAGAGGAACGGAACGGTGTCGAGCGAATTTAATTTAATCTATATTAATATCGAGCGTATTAATATCGGATGTATTGAGCATGTTCATTATAACAATTTTAATCAGGCATCACAATCAACTTGTCAACGAACAATTACAAAATTCGGATATTACGCCTTCTAATCGGATGTTACAATTAACTTGTCTCGTTACGTTCATAATTTGGAAATTTTCAAATTTGAAGCGTTCCCGTCGAATTAAACAATTTGGTACGTAAAATGCAAACATTATTAAATTTAGTTCTTCCCCTCTTCTCGCTCATTTATTTTAATTTTTTTCTACTTATATGTGTTTTTTCATGTATTCGATTATTACATGAAATGATTTTTGAAACTGTTAGATATTCGATAAAACGGATAAAAATATACAAGAATTCAAAAGCCGCCATTTGTACTGTCTAGAAAATTATATTTAATTCCCATAATTCAACAATAAGAGCGTTTAGCAAAAATGCAATCCAGTTTTCAATTCTTCCTTGCGAAGATGCCACCCGGCACCGTTCCAGATTATCTCGAGAAGATTTATCTCGAACTCACGGCGAGGCTCAAAACGGTCTCAAAGCCGAGAAATAAATGGAAAGGAGAAACGGCGGGAAAACTAAAGAGGTTCTCGCGGGAAGCTCGACTATATGCATACACGGAGGCTGTGGCACTCGATCTTTCTTTACGTAATTTACCCTGCTAGAGAAAGATCATATATATGTATAAATGTATATCCATCTACGTCCCGCTCTTTTTCTCACTGTTTTTTCCTCTCACGCTTTTACGCAGCTCTCACCCCTTCGTTTCTCTCTTATTTTACATCTTGCTCGGTTAATCTCTTCTCCCTCTTTTTCTATTTTTTTTTCTTTATGTTTCACTACATCCTTATTCTGCTCACTCGTCCCGACATACTTCACGAGAGACTACATGAGACCCCTCTCTACGCTCTGCTCCGTCTCTTTACTCTACGTTATTCTAAGTAACTCCGTTACTTCCGCCCGTATGTACATACTCGATGTCATCTCTACGTTTCTTTATATTATACATATATATATACATATATATACATGCATATACGTAATTGTGTGTGTCTCCCTATGTATACCCGCTGATAAAAAGCTGACCGAACCGTGTAAAACGCACGCAAAATAAGAAACAAAAACAAAAGACAAAAAAAACGATAAGATCAGAGATACAAAAAGTGCGATAGACGCGCTGACGAAAGAGAAATGAAAAAATGAGAACGAAATGTAAGTTGTCCATGTTGAGCAAATTTAGTATATTGGCCCTCCACGCTACTCTCTCCCAACTGGCACGAATTCTAGTTGTACGTTAGCGTTTTTTTCCTTTTTTGCGGCTCGTTTCTCACCTCTCTCTCTCTCTCTCTCTCTCTCTCTCTTTCTCTCTCAACCAAACACGTAATATATAGCTCTGTTTCTTTTTCATTGTTATTTCTTTTCTTTCCATCTGCCCGTCTAGCTGTCCGTATTTGTCTTTGATTTTAGTTGCGAGCGCAGACACACGTACACCAAACTCGTCCTGAGTGATACACAAATGCCAAACGTCCGAGCGCATTGTATCAATATCAATCGCGATTGCGACCCACCGGTCCCATAGGGGAAACGGGGTAGTTTTTCCTTTCGACGCTGTTTGTGACGTAATACGCGACCTGGTAGTCGGCGACCTCGCTTCAATGTCCCGTCGCGTATGCACAAGGCCCGATAAGTAAATATAACGTACATTCGATTCATACCGGCGGGAGGGGTTGAATGCGAGCGTTTTCAACGAACGTTCGACGACCGGCCGTACGTGCCGACGAAGAATAATCTCTGACGAATGAGCGTTTTCTCAAATCGCTCTCGGATAGATACGCGGGCGTTTAGTCGTCACGTCGTCCCTTTCTCTGGTATACACGCGAGACGTGTGTATGAATGTGAATCAAACGGGTCCGAAGGTATACGACGGATAAATTTGCCGAGAGGAAGAAAAAGATGAATGCTACATTAACGCGATATTAACCGGACATTATACTGGGCATACTCTGGAAACAATCGTAGACTGACATTAACGCTACATCAACGCTTGTCGCGGTTCTTCTTCGGCTTCAACAAGATCCGTGTGCGCATGTGAAAATCGTGAAGTAGACAGTAGTGATTGACGCAGCGATAATGCTTGACAAGGTTTGCAAAAGGATCCTTATGAATAGGGAATGTGTGTTATCGTTGTACAATTATTAATGTCGCCGTCTGATTGCCTGAATCCATAATAAATGCATATTATTTGAATATTGATCACTTTTAGATTATCATGAATAGCATGATATCGATGTTGTATTAAAACGATATAATTTTTTTACTGGTTTTATGCCATCGCCTCGATGATTATTCAGCAGCAACAACGTTGTACGCGCGCGACGAGCCTACTTTAACGCATAAAACTATTTATCTGAGATTGTGAAGATAACAAAGTTGCCGGTTAGATTGCTTCCGCCGTGATTTCTTCCCGGAATCTCATTGCCGACTTCATTAAAATTCATTTTTCACTTTCTACTTTAAACCGGAATAAAAAGGTTCTCTCATCCTCCCGCTTTTACTCGCGATAACTTTTCCATTCCCATTACCGACCGCATCCGTGGACAAAGATCGCCCGTGAAAATAATTTCCGAGCATAATCCCGGCCGTCTTACGATTGTTAAATGCCTATTCATGTCATATTATACGCCCACATAGAAAAAAAATGTACAATAACACATACTCATCCATTAATGTACATTTGCAAACTTTGTGCAAACTTAAAAAGTTTTAACTTTGACAGTGAAACTGCAATTTTCCTTATAGTTTCGTTGTCAGTTAAATTCCATCTGTGTAAAATGAGAGTTCAACTTTCGAAATGTGACTTTGAAGTCGCCCTGTGTTCATAAAAATGGCGTATCGCTCGGGAATTATATAAAAACTGAAATGTGAATTTACAGTAAAAAGTTCCGGCTGAGAGTATATGCGACAAATTTGTCTTAACGCCGTAGCGTTAAAACGAAACGATGAAGTAAAGCTCCCAGTGATCTTCTTCAATGCGCATTGCTGCAACGTGACTTGTTACAGTCGAAGAAGTGCGCCGCGACGACACACGTGTGTTTGCTTGCGTAGAATAAAACTCTCTTCAGTAAATGCATATATAAATACGTAGCGAACAGCTTACAGTCCGGGAAAACCGTACGTGAAAATTAAAAGAGTGACAGACGATTTATGTTTTCGTGGCTACGACGAGATGAGGAGACGCGAGTGGACGGCTGGAGAAGATGTGAGGGATGCCGTGGAAACTAGAAGAGAAGGCGAGGAGAGGCGAAGAGGACCGCGCGAGAGGAGAAGATATAAATCGTCGATCGTAGCGATAAAAAAAAAGGGAGAGAGAGATTAATGAGAATTAACGGAAGGATAAGGCCCGCTTAAACGAACGTTTTTCTTGGCTGTATCGCATGCTCAGGGTTGTAGTCCGATCATACATCTTCCTGACGTTGCTTCAAACGACAGGGATAATATGTCGTGCTCTAACAAATATTTCGTCCTTTTCCTGCTAACTCTTTCGTTTGGCTTTTACATAATAAATAATATAAAATTTATCACTATAAATAGATACGATTAAGAACACTTGTATAAAATTTCTCTTCATTTCGTCACTAATAAACTTCTTGACGTAAATATATTTCTACGCTAGAAGAACAATGCTTCAGAAGTAGAGAATAAATTCGGAGAAAATTCGAAAACCTTTTCTAGGACTACATCCCTATGAACACACGATTATACACCTATAGTTATGCTATGCTATGCAGTCTACGACACGGAATGAGTCTTGACACGAATAAAGCTGAACCTCGAGGACTGCTCTTAGTTTGCCCATTTTTCCTCTTCTTCTTCGTTTTATCTCCTCAACAAAACTCCACCGTGAAACCGCTTCTGCATGCAAAATTAACTTTGCTTCCGGCTCCTCATAACTGCCGGCGAGTGGGGCACGAAGGTTCCATTAAGAAACGTGGGAAGCTTAAGCATCTATAACTAGATACTTTTCGAGTTGAAATTTTGATTCTACATTGACCCTGTAAATTCCGTCGAACTTGAAGAAACAAATATAACATTGTCCTACCTTGATATTATGAATTGTTGTTTACTGGCCTCCATGTTGAATCTTAAGAAAAGACTTATTGTAGAATCATTTATTATGCGAGATTCTCATTATTTTATTTATATTCTATTCCTCCCTATTCATCCCTCATTAATAATTTTTATTTTTAATTTCAATTCTTGTTTTCACGAATTAATCAGTGAATATATTTTAATATTATTTTCATCAACTTTCTAATTATTGATACATTTCGATCTCGGATTATTTATTCGATATTACCAAGTAAATGAGTAAAACTAATATTTTACCATATTGATATTGTGTCATAATGGATATTATAATAATCGATTTTCTATTAATACATATTATATCTTTACATACACATACGCGAAAATGTCCTCAGTAATTGTTCATTGTAAAAACAACTTTTATCAGTTCGTCCGCTTCGGCGATTTTTCGAGAGCTTTGTCAAAATTATGAAAAATAGGAACGTTCGTTACCACCCGCCTGTGCAGTAATCTCGGACTTTCTGAGGTCACAAAGCGCGGAGGAGCTTAAAACCAGCGTCCTATATTTTAGGAGCAAATAGCGAAGGAGAGGCAGGTGACCGGTCGCATACAGATCCAAGTTTCGTACGAGGCGGAACGTAAAGAATTGATTGTCTCGGTTTTTATGGGCGACGACCTATGCGCCCGGGAAGACACTGGATTCGGCAGCTTGCCGGAGGCTTTCGCCAAGCTTGTCCTTGTTCCACCGTGGTAAGTCTATGGTTATCTCGTAAATTCCCGCAGCTGAATATATTTTACACTAGACCTCGAATCAAATCCCGATCCCGCGAAATTTATTTCGCGCCGAAGCGAAATAACAATATCGTAAATTCGCCGCGCGATACTAAGAAAATCCGCATACAGAATCCAATCGCAGCTTTTACACCGTCACATAATGCTTAAGAGCAGCTTCGTGTAAACGATTAATCTATTTTTTTTTTCTTTTTCTTCTCTGTACTTTCTTCTCTCTACTTTCGAGAGTTCCGTGCGTCTAAATTAATTTCCTGTTTATCCGTCATGCTCGTTTTATCGATGTCTCGCTGTCTATACTCAAAATGGCAGGTTAATTAATCACTGGTGGCTTTTACAGCGGCGATGCAACTCCACTGAGGACTATAGTGGCCGAACCGACCCAGAAACCAATCTGGAACGCTACATTGTTCTTCACCGGAGTTGCCGGCGAGAGCCTGATGGAACGTGCGATCGAGGTGACTCTCTGGGATTATTGTCCTGATGGCGATAATGTGTTCCTTGGTGAATGCACCGTCCATGTTCAGCGAGCGCTCGAAAATGACAGAGCGGTCTGGTAAGTGCGTTTTTTCAAGACTGGGGGACGAAGATTGAAAGACTCTCCGTCAGTTAAATGGACGTTAACTATTATGATAGAACTAACTGGTGAAATACTAAGGAGTAAATTGAACAACATTTCAACGGGAAGTAAACAGTCCACAATATAATTTTGTTTTGCTTGTTGTGATTCCGGTCCTCTTTATCTTTCACATAGATATAATTATAAAATAATGATTAATTTTATTCTATATCATAGAGCCTTAGGTTAGGTAGTTTTCCGAGTTCTCCACTTTCCAATTTCTTCCGACAAGTTCTCTCGCTCACGTTCACGTGTTGAAGTATGAACATTTCAGGTATCGATTGGAGGATCCGCGCGGACTTCGAACGGGCAAATCGCCGTATTGTTCACCGCGTGGCTCGCTGTCGATGGACGTCGCGCAGAGGCTGCTGAGGAAGGAACTGCGCGATCGTAGCTACAGCGACGACACGCAAAGCGACAGTGGTAGCCCAGAATTCGGCTTCCTGCACCCGGACCACGCCTGGCACGCCAATTCCAGACGCGGTTCCAGTCAGTCCGAGCAGCTCGAGGTCGAGCCTTATGAGCTCAATCGGGATTACAGCAGATCCTTGCCGGGTAGCCGCAGGAGCAGTTTCCAAAGTCAGGGTGGCACCGATAGCAAACGTGAGTGTCAGAGAATCGACATTCGGGTCATTTTCCTCCGCATAGAACAAATCGCCAGCGAATGTAACGACGCGTCAAAATAAGAGTATCTTGTTTCTCCGAGCAACTCTCGTTTATTTCCTTCTTCCGGAGGAATTAATACTGGGAGGATAAAATTGTTGTGAGTTGAAACTTCACCGTAATAATCGGTATAATTGTAAGACCGAAGGATAAACGATAAAGAAAGAGAGATATCGTACGATTCTTCTCAATCGTGAAGCAAAATTTAAACGCCAAGCTTATCAAGAATGCGATACATTATATATAACTTGTTATAGACAATCATCATATGATAAGCGTGTCTCTTCAATGGCGCTTGATATATCTCCGAGTCAGCACACGACAAGTAATTTCATCTGTAATTGTGATTGTATGCGGCGCGTCCGATATACACAAAAATAAAAGGAAAACCCGGAAGAAATCGGGAAGCGCAGTTTCTAAAGACCCTCTTATCGAAACTTTCGATGTAGCTCGCAGATACTCGACCTAATAAATTTCGTCCCGCTTTCCCGTTGCAAGCTGGCTCCTCACCCTTCTTCCGCCTCTTTTCAAATAAGGATGATAACGACAGCGGCTAGCCGCGATGCGCTATTGTTGGATAGTCTCGAGTGCTTCTTGCAAGCTCTTGGCATACTTAAGTAACAGCTTCCTCCGATTATCACTACCTATTCGATTACCGTCGCTTCATAGGAACGTTCGTGTAACGTTGTAAACAGCAAAAACCGATGCGAAGTATCGCGGCAAGCTAGCGAGCGTTAAAATAGCGTTAAACGAGCGGAGGGATGACGATGTTATAAACAACATCGTTTCTTTAATAGAAATTACACCCGCGTAATATAATACGTATTTAATTACCGCGAGAGAGCGCGAAAATTCGATATTCTTGTATCAGTTACGCCCCAGTTCGCGAGTTATAAATAAAAGGGTGCCATCGATTTCCAACGTCACTCCACCAAATTCATAATTAGACCTAACCGATGGAATTCTTCCAGGTGGAAGTATGGGTGAAGTCGACGTGCCTGTATATTACAATCGCGATCGACGACGAAGCTCATTCACCAGACCTATGAGGGATCCAGAGGAGATCATGGAAGGTTTGCGATCCCTTAAAGCGGTCAAAGGCGAGCTCAGCAGGACTATGAGTCTCACCGGTGACAAGAGACGCGGCAGCCGTGAGTATAAACATTTCTTTGCTTCTTTCGGCCATCATTTCGCTCGTCCGTCTGTTTGTTTGTCTTTGTACCTCTCCATTCGCTCGTCACACCCACCTACGCGATTCCATTTTTAATGCTACTACTACTACTATTGCGATACTTTCTCTTTTTCTCCTTTTTACCACCGTTACTATGTCGTTTAACGTCTCGTCGGCCCCATCGCGTCACTATCACCCGTCCGACCGACATCGAGTCTCACTAATGACGTCCATCACACCATAGTCTTGCATCTAAATGTATGTAAGTGTGCGAGTGCGAGTGTGCATTTTATCTGGGTGTTGGTGCATCGTCTCACACGTCCGATCACACATTCACACTTTTGCGTGATCATTCGCTTATTTTTATCCTCTATTGATGTTGTTTTCCTCGTTGCCTCTATTTTTATATTCTGTTCTTTCAATGATTTCAATAATTTATCTGCCTGACTTTTTTTAACGTGTCTTTTCTTCTTGAAATTTTAATTGAAACAATGATATTTTAGAAGATTCTTTTCAATTTTTAGTACTGGTTTACGAGAGAAAATATACTCAAACGAGTCCACACAATTAATTAATTGACGATAACTTCAGAAAATGTTGAGAATCTTGAAATAAAAGCGATTAAACTAAAATAATATTACTTTACCGGTGCGAGAAGATTCTAGAAAGTACGAGACAGTTACCGCGTTATCGAGAAAATTTTACGAAAGAATGCTCAAGATTCTTGGATTCTTTTAAGACAATATCTCATGATAATGTTGTGTATCAGCCGAATACCTCGCATTCTTTCTCCCCAAATTCTATTCTGTAATCATTCTTTCAACCATGCTTAATATGTTTAATATTATTCCACCATCTATGTGTTTATTCATTATCGTGTGATCATTCTGTGAAGCTCGAAACCTCTCTCTCTCCAATTTTTCTTCCCTCCTTTTTTGCGGATGTCAATGCAATTACTATTTATCTGTCTCGCACTATATATCACGTCCCGTCGACCCCACGCGGTTTGACCGAGCGAACATACTCGACGTTCGGAGAAATTCATATTCGTTTGCCAAACGTCATATCGTTGTCAGTTTATCGTATCTGACCCGGACGGATCAAAGCGAGAATAGCCTGACCTGGAAAGGACTTCGATGTGACTCCGGTGCGAGATTGGATCGATTTCGGATTCTCGTATCCACCGTCGGCCATGACTGTCTTCGACGCCTTTCGCTTTGCGCTTCATCATCGTTCTCGATCGCTTTTTCATCGCTCACACGCTCGATATTTCGGCAATTTCGCTTGCGAAATAGACCGCGAGAATCTCCAGTGAGCTCTGCCGAACCGACTGTCAGCGAAAGCAAATTCGGGAGACCCATCAGGTGTCGGAGAACGGAACCGCGAGATCGAAGAAGCGGATTCGTTGAGGAACCGCCGAGACGATCCATCACGCAGTGTTCTGCTTGGATTTGCGAAATTTCGCTTAACTCGTCAATCATTCCCCGCTTTTTGTTCGTGGAGTCATCGTTCCGATCGAACGGCCCGGATCGAAGACTGCTTCCATCGAGCATAATAACGCCATTCCCTCTATGCCTGTTTCTCGCAGAGAAATCGCTGTTCGCCCTTTCACCCCACAACCAGCGAAAGAATTCGTTCACAATTTTGCGTCCTTTTGTGTTGCGATTACTGTTGCGCCGTTGTTGCCTGTTGCTGATTGCTCGTATCGTCTCGCCAGCCTGACAGTAATGACTCGAGCCTCTCTCTTTCTCTCTCTCGCTTCGGGCTTTCACGAGGCGAAAAAGAGCAATTACGCCGCCGCGATTACTACGAAGACGCTATCGTGCCCCTGAGTCGTTGCACGCACCATGTGTAAGTCTATGAACGCCGTGATCTTTTCTCTCTTTCTCTTTCTGTCTTTTGCTCTTACTTTCTCTGTCTGTTATTGCGCTATTCAGCCTCTCATCATTCACTCCTCCGAGTGTTGTTTGCCGCATTTGAAAGCGTGCTAAGCTGCCATGATCGCGACGTGGTGATCCTTCTGTCAGCAAGATTATCGCTTCTTCATCGTTGAGGCTCGATGGTCGCTTCAGGTCGCGACAGGTGCTGAACGCTGGCGCGGCACGGAATCGCGAAATTGCTCTCGCAACGTGTCTGTCAAAGCATTACGTTCCATCCCGCGGCAATTCGCTGCCGAATAATTTATAAACTTGTTCAGGATGCGTTTATCGTGTAACCGGTATAAATTGCGCACAGAAGTGGAAACGGCTGAATTTCCGTGGTATCGCGTTAACTCCGTTAGTTCAATGAGCAAACGCGGGATTACTGTCTCTGGCGCGATAATGAAGATTCGCAGTGAATTTGCATTACACGGAGGAAGTGCGCCGCGAAACAAACGAGCACAATAAGCTGGCTGACGTTTTCGGAGGTGCACGAGGGCGTGACGAGTTGAACACAACTAACCCTCCTGTCTACCCACGCTGCACGCTCTCGCTCGGAACAATATCATTATTATTATTATTATTATCATCATCATCATCCGTCGCTTCGTCGCCGGCAACCGCGTCGTCGAGCACCCGAAGCGACCATTAAGCGCCCTGAAGAGTCGCAATCACCCATTCAGTTTCTCCGCGCGTTGGCTGTATGCATCTTCGTTCGCATAAGCGCACGGCCGAGCACGGCGTGCACTTTGAACTTGACTCCTCGATGTATTGTTGATTATCTTGGTATCCTTTCTCGGTCGGCATTGCACCGTCCATCAATGCAAACTGAACTCTGAACGCGTACTCGACTCGAATCGCTCGAAACGTTCGGTTCGCTCGGTCGAAACGCCATCGGCTATCGTCACGACCCCGATTATCGACGACAAATCGTGGGCCACGCACGTACGACCAACCAACCGACCAACCAACCAACCAACCAACCAATCAACCAACCAACCAACCAACCAACCAATCAACCAACCACCATCAACCAACGACAACAGAGTGCGTAGTCCCAACAGTTACTGTGTGGCAGTGCGAGCCTGTGTCTCCGAGGACCGGTAACTCGGCCTCTTTCCCACTGCCGCACTCCACACCACCTCGATAAATAACTGCAAGGCACTGTCGACCAACGTTATGGGCTTCCGGTAAGACACACTCTTTCTCTGTCGCTCATTGTCTATTGCTCTTTCTTTCTCTCTCCTTGTCTCTCTCTCTCTCTCTCTCTCTCTCTCTCTCTCTCTCTCTCTCTATCTACCTGTACTGCATCTATTTTGGGTGGAACGTTGCTTCGAGTTCTTATCGCTTTAGTTTGCCCCTTTTAAGTAGAGCAATCTTATTTATTCCGCAGCGGAGAGTAAAAACAGGGTAGGTCTTCTATTGATAGCACCGAATATAGGCGAGCGAAGGAGAAACGCGTGGATGTACTTTCGACAGAGAATATCGTCCGTCGACGTCACAATACGACTCGATTCTTGATTTTCGTAATTTTATTGTTTCTTCGATCAGTTCTCTTTCTTCCTTCACGTGCGCTTGCCGTTAATTTTTCTTTCCTGCGATATACCCATGCCGTTAATTTTTCTTTCCTGCGATATACCCATGCCATATTCTATTTTACAGAGAGGCACGCAACATCGTTAATCATAAGGTCAAGATATAAACGTGCTAAACTTCAACCACGAAATATTTTCTTCCCCTTCGCGTTCTCAGCGATTTTTATCGTGCTATAATTTTCTACGGCAAAAATAATTACGCTCCCGTTTTGCAACTTTTTACTCGGATGTATCGTTAGTTTCCTCACTGTTGATCCATTACATCTTATCCCTTCCATTCCCCCTTATTTAATGGTCTCTCAAATCATTTTACGCTAAACATCAGCCTATTTTTTAATGTTATCTAATCAGTTCATCACCACTTCCTCCTTCTTCTCTCAAGATTACATCTTTAGCGGATCTGAAGGGAACAACTGTATAAAAGACGATACAGGCAAGGTTTTCGCTAAAACTGTCCTTAAGTGATGTTACACGGACTTATCAACTGTTAGAATATTTTTTTTTTTATAAGAAGCAGACGCTGTTCAACTAATATTTCTGTTACAATTTCATCAAATCAGTCGTTTTTTTGCTAACTTAAATGACACGCTAAATGGAAAAACGTGGAAATTACTCGCGAAGTGTTTCGAATCGTCTGACGGGTGAGTAGCAGAAGAAGCATCTTATCTCTACGTCCTGCCCCCTATTGAAAGCCTCGACGAAAGCCTCGACGAAAGGCTGCTTCTGTGTTCTCTCTCTCCCTTTCCCTTCCAAATCGTTTCTTACAATTTGAGCGAGTTATGCTTGAAAGTATTCGCTTGAACTAATACTCGTAGATAATATTAACGCTACAACTGTCGCTATCTACAATCGTGATCTTAGGTAAGAGAAATCGAGAATGTCGTCGTATTGTTGCATGTTTTTCGAGCATTGTATCGACGTGAGCACCTTACAGTAGTACCTTACTGATATGGTTGACTTATCTAACGAACTGCCCCATGCCCGATATTTCTATACTCTTTCTTTATATTGGCTCGCAATTGTTCCTGATCTGTAATTCTTGGTTTATTCTTAACTATATATATATATTGTACAGACTTTATACTTCATGATACTGTGCCTGATTGCAAAAATGTTTTCAGATTTTATGAAATATTTTACATTTATGAATATGTCAAAACAAATGGACATTAATGTGTAAATATAACATTAACTGATTTCATTTGTGAATTTAAAGAAAATAAATGTCGACTGCATCTTTTCCCGATGTAATGTTAAAGATAATTTTTATGTTATTAATTATGTCTCGATGCTAAATCTTACCAACGTAAAAATATACCGAACTATTTAATGCTAAATTTCTTAATACAAGAGAGTTAGAAATAATTTAATAAGCAAGTTCTAAATCGTTATACTGTGTAGAAACGAATGGAGAATACAATTTTACGCTACAAATTGCTACGAAATCTTATTAAACTGAATAAATTTCCGAGTTGGAGCAACTTGTCCACCTCTCAATAGGTTTACTATCACCGGTGCGAAAAGAGGAAAAACGAGTAACGGATTGAACCCGCTGGAAAATGTTACGACCGATTAAAAAAAATTTTAATTCGTATCGCAAACGATCAATCAATAAAGTTTGCAATTAAGTGGCATCTCGGAGTTCGAATATGATTCGTGTGTCGTGACGAGTAACGAGAAAGCATAAGAAACATATTAGGAAGCCTCAGCTGGCGGAATATGTTAATAGTAGAACAAGGCCGAGCTCTACACTAGCTCTCCGAGCTTCTAATTATCTTATTACAGCTATCGAGACCGAACTTTCCTCTTCGTAGAGTTGAAACTCCCCCGCTATCGCTCTGGTACTTTGGAGTCGAAGTTTGTATCTTACCTCTCTCTATGTAGGAAACGCGCGTTTGGAACTTATTATATACATCTATCTAATTCAGGAAGCTTCGGTCGTTGAATTTCACGATTCGGTCTACGGCTGCGTCGGCGACGATTGAATTGCTCCCGCTGAGATTTCGAGTATCTATTCCGATATATGAGAGTTAGCACTCTCTGCACGTTGATAAAGTTTTGATTGGTAAACTTTAGAAATTCGCATTTAGTATGGAAAAGACAATTTAATTCAATTCTAACCCCTTTTTTAAGGAACTTTTTTAAAAATTAATCTAGCATTCTTACAACTATCTCATTGAATGTGCCACTCAAAACGGTCGAAGCATTATACCGTCGTATAAAAAAATAAATTTAAAGTGCAAGCTTTTAGAAATTATACCATCAGAAAAATATGACGTTAACGTGTGGACAAACTGAAAATTATACTCGAATCGTGCCGACTGATTGAAATCCATACGACCGAAGGAGCTTCGCAGATGTCGTATTGTTCAGTAGGCAGCTTCTCTCAGATATCTGTCGCAAAATTGAATTTGAAAGGACAAGCCTGTAGAACAGATTCTTCTGACTGGCAAGGTGTAAATTGTTCTCTTTCGATAACGACCCAACTGCAATCTGTGTCACCGTGCGCTTACAAAACAGACTAAATTCGCAGATCCACGAGCATCGCTGCTCGGTGAACTGCGTTTTTGTAAAAAAATCTCACTTGCGACGACACACAGATTGCGATTTATCTACGATAAATAATCTGAAAAGATATTTTTCAACCCGTAGGGCGGGGTGAGCGCAAAGACAGCGTCATAGAGATTCCAGAGAGATTTTACGATAGGAACAGCGAATCCGACGAGGACGAAAAATGGAGGTACGGCGATCCATCTTTCGTGGCAAGTCGAAACGAATCAATCACTCCATTCTATTCGCGTTTTCGGTGTGTCTATTATTATCGATTCATCAATTACGCTTTGTGTCATCGCGCGTTAGCGACGTTCTGATTCAATCATTATTATCGTATTTAATGGTAGAGAAACGAGTGGAAACTCTCGGAATTATCCTACATCGATATCCATTAAGTAAAATTTAATCGAACACGTGTGACATAATTTTTGTTATTACAGTCAGTCGGCGGGAAATGAAAATGGCGTCGACATAAAACTGGGTTGCGGACAGGTGCTGCCTAAGGGATATAAAATGATCAGTGGTAAAATATCCGTTATGGCCTTATTAAAATGAAATTGCTAATTTGATCAATCTTTTTTTGTTGCTTTGCTCCAAGTATTTATCATTCGAACATGCGGTAACACAATAATGAGCTCTCTTAAAATATACTCGATTGCATGTAATTCTGTTCAATTAATCGATCGCATAGTAGACACCACACTTTCGCTTTGAGCTACAAAAAGTCCTACGAAAGATTGATTTAATCTGATCTCACGTTGCATTTGATTGAACGTTTTTCTAATTGCAATCGCCAATGTCGCAGGTGCGCAAAATGGCGAAGTGAAACTGGGCTTCTTTCTCTGCAAGGGAACTCTCGAAGTCGAAGTTATCTGCGCCAGAGATATTTGTCCCGGGGAGAAGGAGGAGCCAGGTAATTCGAGAAGCGCGCCTGCTCTTTGCCGCTAATTCTCCCTCATTCGAGTCGCTCTCGCCTGTTTACAGCTACTATAAAATTCTCACAGCATAGCACCGTGGAGATATCACCCACCAGCTACCGTACCTTCGCGTTAATTTCCCAACGTTACGACATGCCATTCTGTCTTGATCATTCATACATTACTTAGCGTTCAGAAACAAATTTTTACGTGGGCGGACCAACGCGCGTTAATCACGACGACCTACATTCGCTAATTTGTCGTTAGCCTTTATATCACGCGCAAACTTGCAGCAAAATCAATATGCAACGTCGTTTATAAGTGTCTCGAAAATAGATTAACTGGATTTAATTAATTCCCCTCCGCAAGGAAGATTTTAATATGATCTAACGCGGAAATAATGTGTGTCCGCTTCCAACGTCTAAAGATTTTAAGACTGTATGAATAATTGTCGTTAGTGTATCAATTGTTAAAAAAACTTCTCCATAGACGAAGAAATAATTACAAAAAAATTGTCTATAATTCATACGCAAATATAATAAGTAGCTAGAAATGTTTTTGCAAATGATACGAGATGTTTAGAAAATACTTATTCGAATAGGAATTAACGACGAGACTTGTTTTCCGCAGACACCTACGTGAAGACGTATTTGCGCGACGGCGAAAGGTGGCTGCAGAAGCGCAAGACTCGCGTGATACGACACTCGAAGAACCCGCAATACCGCCAGACGCTCAAGTATGGCAGCTGCGACGCGCTGGGCAGAGACCTGCTGGTGATGCTGTGGGAGAAGAAGCAAGGCTTCGAGAGCAATCAGGGATTGGGTGGCGCCGAGGTAAACCTCGACCTTCTGCCGCTCACGCAAATGACCATCGACTGGTATCCGCTCTTCCCGATCCACACCCTCGGTACGCAGAACGCGGACTCGCCATGATGGTTAAGGGAAAAGTGGGCCTTGGAAGCCGGCGAGCTCGACCTCAGACTGAGCCTTTTGCTCAAAGACGAGGGCGAGCCCGTCGTCAAAATCATCTCTTGATGGAAATGGTGGCTGATCGACTTCGCCGACACGATCTCGAGGCACCGGTGTTTCTTTTTATTGTCGCAAGTTCGTGAATGATGCGACGAAATGCGCGTTGTTCCAAAAGGCGTCGACGTGCCCTCGGTCTTTCCCGTGTTTTCAGTACGGCTTCTCAATCGTAACTGGGAAGAAGTCCTGTTTTCACGTTTTCAGATTTATTCGCGTGGAAAAGCTTGTTCCATTCCGTTGATCACGGTAAAAATATGCTCTGTGTATGTTGTCTTATTACGTTAGTCGACGTTTTCATTTCTTCCGTTCGCAACGAATAAGATAGCATTATAAGAACGGATTAATCCCCGCGTATCGAGTCGATTAATTAATGGTTTATAATTATTTAATAATAAGCACACGTAATAAGTATTAGAAACCAGTTAATAATAACCAAAATATCTGACACTTCATTATTTGTTCATCATTATTTGTCAACACACTTCCAGTAACGAATGAAAGAGGCAAGAATATTCCTGTAATTAGAGCTGAAATCAGAGAAAGAAAACTAACATATATTTTAAAATAACAATATTGAGAGAATGTCGCGAAAACTAGTGAAATCAGTCATTAACACGGGAAGATCGATCACACATTGCGCGCGACAGAGCCGATTGAGAAAATCGCTAATCACGTGTAGCGTGAATAACCGGAAGACAATCAACTTCAGATGGTTCTATTATACAGTTCAAGAAGACAATCAATTTTGAGAATTGTGAAGACGTAAAAAAATACGCATGCGTTCAACTCGCGCTTATGGAACGACGTCACCGTCGCCGCGTTTCGTCTCGGGAAGAGAGTGCAGAAGAACGCGCATAAACAACTTCCAAAGAGTTCCTTCGATTAGCGCCTTTCAAGATCCACGGGTGCCTCGTGAATGTTCGCGGTGATTTTAACGGTAAAGGTATACCTGTGCAAATATGTCAGACGACAAGCAATCGAGTACAATATAAAGAGAACGAAAGAGAATGTAAAGAAAGAAATGTAGAGAAAGAGAGAGAAAAAGAAGGACGGAGAGATTATTTTTTCGGCGATTAACTATGGAAATGATGATAGTCATGTATCTTGATAACGTGTATCCCGACGAGATGACGAGGGTCCATTTTTCCCGAAACGAGGATAATATCGGCGAAAACGTCGACTACGTCGAAGCGAAGCTCGATCGACATCTGCCGCCCGCGGCGGCCTCATCTGGTTGATCCAGTCAGTGATTCGATCGAATTTCGTACGTACTAATTCAAATATCGATATTAAAGGATCAACAATGCTTTGATCTTTCCCACGTCGATGAGGCACATTCGAGATTCGCGTTTCCTGTTTTCATTTAACGCAGACACACGATTTGGAGCGCGGAATGAAAATTTGCCGTACATTGTTACAAATTTCCGTCTTAACAGACCATTAATATATAATTGTATATTAAATCGAATTTGATTTTATCAAGCGGATTTTATCAAGCGGATTTTATGAAGCTTTTCAAAGCGGAAAAGTTCCATTTTTCTAATTCTGACAATTTTACCGATTGAAAAATATTATATCAACGTTGCAAGTCATTTCGCAAATTGTAAACCATGACGTTGCGAAAGAACCGTACATTGTAAAATAAACTTTCACTTCGGACTGTGAATATAACAGGAAAATATTTTCTAGAATTTTTTAGACACAAAGCCCGCGTTCCAGAAGAGCGATAGCGAGAAGATAGGAAACGCTCGCACGGAGTGCCTCGATCGATGTTAATTGCTTTAACTATATAACGGTAGACAATCGTTCCAAGGCTCGCTGGCCGAGCCGACGGCAAAAAGAGCAATTTAGCGAGGTGGTGGCGAGACGAGCGGATTAGACGAGGGGGTGTAACTTTGCAGCCAATCTGAATAATAACCAACCAACCAAAAACTCGGTGTTTTAGAAGTCGCACAATTTTTGTAGCTCGTAGACTGATAGCAGGACAGACAAGCGGTTCCTTCGACGTTTCTCAGATAATATCGACGTCCCGTTTCCGTGCGGCATCCCGAGGATCACGATGGCTCCGCCAAGCAATTCAATTCCATTCCAATCGACTGTCGGGAGAAAGGAGGGACGTAATGAGAAAGGTTAACGCGCGAAATTCCAACTTCGAGCTTAATCAGCCGGCTTGGTGATCCTCGGGACGCGTTATTGTGAATGTTTAAATCCACAGTGTCCCGCGATGGGGTTAGGAATTGTCCAGGATTAATTGCGCTTACCCCGCCCGAGTAATTAGAGATAGGTGATAAACGTGATAATACCGTACAGAGTTAATTAATGGCACCTTCACGATGAATTACGTCTAACGAGAGATTGAAGTTTACGGATTTATTATTATAATCGAGTGTGGTGTGTGCGCTTACGCGTGCGAACGGAGAGACGCGACGATACTCTAAGTTAAGTGTTGTGTGCGTGTATAACGGTAACCTCACGGCGTCGAGATCGACCCGGGACGTGTGTACATGCATATATATATATATACATCGTTTAAATACGTGTATAATAATGTAACGATATATAGCGTATCTGTGTATGTTAATATGTAGATACGTGCTATATATTATTATACGCTCCGCACAAGAAGAAAGAACTGTAGACGAAGGATAATCAAAACATGTACATGTGTTTAAACGATAAGGATAAATGGACGGTGTTACTGTCCCATATCATTAAACTCGATGTTAAACGACGTAGATGTTTAAGGGATGTCAACGAAAGTGCAATCGAAGATTTATTTTCGCAAGTCGAAATTCTTAACGACCATATATGCACGTTGCAATTCTCAATTACGATTGCATTGTTAATTCATTGTTTTATTTCCCGCGTATGTTCTCATTGATTGATACCTTCTTTTATAAGAGTTGACTGTATAAAATATCAAAAGGCTTCTTAGGAAAACATTTGTTCATCCGAGGCTCGAATAATTAGAACGTGTATTGCGACTAAGATTCCTTTGTAAGGTCTCTGAAGACGGAAGACTTTTAATTGCGAACAAAAAGACGCACGGAGCTGAATCGCGAGCGCCCGAGCACACGAAGAAAGTAACTTTTTAACTTAAAACACTGAACGTGGAAGTATATCGGCCCGAAAAGACATTTAAATATGGTTGTGCTGTTCACACTTCTTGTCGATATAATCGCTTCATCGGTCTCTCGCCTCGAACGCCAAGTGACGTGTCTCACCGAGAGAGTTATAACGAGACGGTTGTGCCTTTGCGAGGGCTAAGTCAGACGTATCGCGAAAAACGATCGTGTTCCCACGAAAGGAAGTCTATAATCGGCCTAGAAATATATCACGAATAATCCGAATTCGATTTTTGCCGCGTTACTCGCGAGATATACACACCATAGCGCGACTGTAATATTCAATCGCATGTAATATCTTGAGTTGTACATTTTTAATGACACCGAATATTCGACACATAGGGGGGTCATTAATATCTCAAGTATCAAGTTAGTAAAAAATTATTACTTAAACAACCGAAATTGTTGATTTTCCATACGGAACGTCGTTGGTTATATTTCAATAGAAGAAGAAGGAAGTAATCTCGGGATAATCTTAACAAACTACGTAATCAGAAAATACAAACGCGGACAAATATCAAGCGAACGAGTTATTCGTGGCGTAAAAAAGAGTCGGTAAAACTTTCGGCGAGAAAGTAAAAGGAAAAAAGAAATCGAATTAATTCTCGTACGGACGCAGAATCGCGGATCTTCGTCGAAAGTTTCCTCATACGAAGATTATCGAATGGACAATCCTCTCGTACGAAAATGCAATTATCTACTATTTTAAAACGAAAGACTTCTCCTTCGTAAGTAACTGAGCGCGTTCTAGGCACGTTTTCTACTAGCCTTCGAAGTGACTTAATACTACTATTACTGCTATTTCTATTACTACTACGATTGCTATACTTAACGTTATCGACACCGTTATTACTATTATCACTATCCAACGCTGCTTATTCTCCCTTCTGGCTATACTAAATGCTAACACAGCACTTGCAAGATCAAGAGAAACGAGAATCTACATTTTATAGCGACACTAATTCTTCAATCTATTAACGTCAACGACGACCTTTATGATCAAGTTATGGATAACGCTTTGCTCTCTGAATTATCGTTTTACGAATAATCAATCGAGTGAAATCCAGCATCCTCTGAGTTTAAAAATGTTGTAAAATTAAAAAAAAAACTAGTGCAAAAAATTTCTTAAAAAGTATAAAAAATAGAACTTTTACATTCTATACATTCTCTATATACTGTGTTATATGTATAATTATAACTAATCACGATCGTAGAAAGAAATACTTCTAGAGTGATTTCAAAAATGTTAGAATGAAAACAATTAATTTTTCTCTTGAGATAAGAAGAATATATCAGCACATCTGATTATAAATATAAATATCGAAAATACTGTTAATCTAAAAAAACTCAATATCCTAATTAAATCGCTAATTAGAGAGCAAAGAGTTAACTGCTCGTTGTGTAACTGCTCGTTACACGCTATGCTTCACACTTCTCGCGTATTTCTGAAAGTCTTCTAATAGCCGACGAGGAGCTCGAGCTTATATTACAATGAAATCTAGACACACTTGAATAGAGTGAAACTGCGATTTTTTCTACAACACAGAACGCTAGCATTTTGAAACGTAGAGAAACTCGAGTCTGCCTCACTACTTTAATGTCTACTCACGTACGACAAAGATGTATATTAACATGACATCCACCCACACGTGCACATACACACACACATACACGATTCACACGTATACTTATTACATTATACGTTATGTATCAACCTTGACAATCGAAAATTATTAATTCGAATTTACGCTACGAATCTCTAGACGATAAATATGTTGTACTTACTACAATTCGTACCGGAGAAACCGTATGTAAAATAATCCTAGAGTCGAGCACACGTCGGCGAACTATTGCATAACTGTACATTCGATATGTATTATATATTGTCATGATCGATCAGTTGCGGGCAAGAACGTTTCTAGAATTAATTCGGGAGAAATAGATTAGAAGCAAGTGATTCTCCGACGATCCAAATGAGGATAATTAGCGCGATTGATCGCCTCGTCGAGAACGCTGTTAATTAAGAGTTACAAAAACAACGGCCTCTTCCCGTACATATCTGTGTTGTACTCGTTCTGATATCTAATTGTAAGTGTCAGGGACAATCTCACGGGAATTGTGCGTGTTCGCGTGGATATTAACATCGGCGGCACTTTTCCAGCCTGCGGGAAAGCGGTCTCGCGTTTCGGCGACGTGAATCGATCTCGCGTCCATTCGAAAATTTATCTCAGGTTTGCGATCCAGCAAAGTTGTGCCATTTGGTGCTAAAAGCGATAGAACCGGCCGATGGAGGTCTAATTTAAATGGACGTACGATCGAGTCGCGTCGTCGTATACTCTATAATCTGAAACGTCGCGCGAAGAAGAGGAAGGAAGCAGCCAGTTGCCCTTTCGCTCACTACTCACGATCGCGATCGTGAACGTTATAATTTCCATCCCCGATCGGCCTAAAATCATGTTCGAATGTATCGCGAAGGGATCGGACGGGCATGCGTCGACCCACACACGAATGCTTGATCCTCGTAGATGCGCGATTAATTGTTACATACATACGTACGCCTAAGTACTGATCGTTCAAACTGGTGATTTGTAAAACGCGTAATTAAAGCGAAGCGAACGAGAGGTGAGTGGGAAAGCGAAAAGCGGAAACCGAGACGGACGTACGTGAGAGATCTTAAACGAGTTACAATAATCATTCGGGACCCAAAAACGATTTCGGCCGCAGAACACCATTAGGGGCTGATAGTTAGATGTGTTTAACGTGAACTACCTTACAAAAATAATTAATTCTCGAAGCCGACCGAAAGCGATCCTCTGATCGCTCGCGGTGTGTCCTCTTTACGATTAGGAGCAAGTGCTTTGGTTAATCTTCTCCTCGCGTTCTACGGCACTGTCGTTACCACCTCGACCTGACTCAAGATTCCACGTACCGAAGCAATCGGACTGTCCTTTCCGACATTCTCCGGATTTCGTCTTTCTCATGTATCACGTAGGATTTAGCGATAGGCGCGCTAAGAAATTCTGCCATTTTCTCATCAGCCATAGGGATGGCAGTTTAAAAGAAAAGAGTATCACGAGTGTACAGTACGCTCATACTTCTCGATCGTGACACGTTGTGAGCTCTATCAATCTTAACAATTTATATTCACGGAACAAAATAAGTGGTACATATCACGTATTGGTAGAAATCGCAATATTCGCTCGTTCGTAAAATGAAAAATGATTGAACTCCATCATCCTCCGTTGAATATCGACTACTATAATTAATATTAGGCATAAGTTGACATTTGTTGAACATATGAGAAACGCGTCGGACATATTTTTAAACGTTTCTGCTCTAAGCCGAGGAGGAAATCCGTGACTACGCGCAACTGATAATTTCAAACTACAATCGTATCTTCCAGTAAAGATACACGATTTTAATTTGTTATGTTTCAATACGAAAAATCCCTATTTGTGCGAATAACACGCAAATGGCTGACAACGTGTCGAGGGATATCGGAGAGTATCAGCGCAAGAAGACACATATTATGGCCTTGTAAAGTCTTGTATAAAAGAAAGGGGGCAAGCGTTTCGGCGGTTCTTCTCGCTTTGTCATTAGAATTATTAGAAACTTTAGGATTCTTACAATTTGCGAACAATCACCGTGCACGTGCGCGTTTTCATGAAGAAAGCAGTTCGCGGGAGAGAAAGAGAGAATGAGAATGAGAGAGGAAAAAAGTCGCGACGTAACGGAAGGGACACCCTTAACGTAGTTAAAAAGACGTAGATACGATTACGTGTCGTCATATACCGAATTCAATGTGATGTTCCCTGCATGTTGAGTGTTGATCGTCGCGCATGTGGATTAGAATCACAGCGTGTGGTAGAAATTTACGGGTTAATCGAGTATGGATAATTAGCAGTTAAGTGAGCTGCGATCTACTTTCTATTGGTTCCGCGGCATTAGCGATTACGTAGTACTCTTGATTGACGTTATTCAATGATTAAGCGTCGGTTCATCGACGATGCGAGGAAATTATTAGTGTTCCCGGACTGCGAGGTACCCCGTGATCTAAGAATGATTTCAAAGTTTATCTTGTAAAAACGAAGGCGATTGATTGAATTGTTTTACCACTGAGGGTTCTCGGAGAGTGAGTGAAAAGAAAAAAAAGCTAAAAAGAAAAATTCGCTTGAATGAACCACGCAACCTGATAATTTAATAGATAATCTCTTAAGATTTTTCGTTTCCGAGATAAACTTTTAATGGTAAAACACTCGAAGGCAGTTTTCAACGATAAAGCTCGGAGCTCTTACGTTCAGCGCAAAACAAGAAAATAAATGTAAAAACTGTCTCGGAAGTTCCTCGCAATCGATGAATCAGAGTTTCTCCTACTAATTGGTTAACCGATTGGCTTTAACTAATTAGTTATATCGCTGACGGATGCGAACGAGGACGAGCGAGCTCTTGAACCTTTCTTTTTCCTTTTCCTTCTTCCTCGTTCGCGTCATCGAAGAAAAAAGTACGTAGGTACCTTATTTATAACTTCAATAACATTTTCTACAAGGGAAAACCATGAAAAAAATGGATTTTTCTATTATAAAGGTATTGACGAATGACCAAGCACTAGAGGCGGTCGTCGTTGAAGAAGACTTTGAAGTTTATGTCCCTTTCGCGATAGCATTCACTGTCTTATGACCTTTTATTATCACGCGTATTTAAACGTCTTATTTCATTCTAGAACACGTGTATATTGCACGAGGTATATCTTAACTATTATTATTCCATAACGATGGAATATGCTGAGTTATTGTTGAATATATTTGGTTGAGCCGTTAATGATTTTTGATCGATGGCAAATCGATGGGTGAAAAAGAAAGTAGAAGTGTAAGGGTTGTGATTAAATAATGACGTAGCGATTAGACACTTTGATTCATTTCTCTCGTGAAAAGTCATATTTTTCTACGCACGGGAAGTTCTATTATAGCGAGTTACAACAAATTAGAAACGTGTATGTTACAATCGAGAAAATAATAAGAGAGAGATCATCTGTGAGACTTATGAGAAAGCGATCGCGAGTACCTTCGATTGGCCAACGATTAAAAAATTGTTAATGAATATTATCGCAGCATATGCTTCGTATTTCAGAATTAATTTGTGAAAGATCAAAATCATACGATGCGTTCGTGTTAAAGAATGATGCGCATAAGAGGATGATATAGAGAGACATATAAGAACGAGGAGTGCCAGAATGAATAAACGTGCAACTTTATGAAAAAAAAAATAATAACTTGTAACATAAATGAATAAAAAGAAAAAAGAGAAGCCGAATAGTCGACTTCTGTCTGCCTCTCGTTAAATTTTTAGTACCAATCTGTGTGCAGCGAATATTCGTCAAATATTATTTGAAACTTTATTGTTTAAGAAATAATTTCATTCAAAACTCTGCTGAATTCTTAAGTAGTCCTTGCATAAACGCTCGTAAAATTCTTCAAAAATTTCTTTCCACAAAGGGAAATTTTTAAATTTCAATTTGTTCGAAAAATTTAATGTCAAAACTTAATATGTTATTTGTGTCGCTTTTCTCTTTACACATCAGACGTCACGTGTATTCGTGTATCGAGTAGTACTAACATAAAGGCGTATAGGATTGAGAAATGAAATTTTCTTCGGAGACGAGGGAGTCGAATATTTTTCGTGTAGAATGTTTAAGGCTCGCGGAAGAAGTTCGCTTCCTCCTTCGCGAACAAGTCTATTCGTTCCAATTGCAATCTCTACGCTTTTACCCCCTTTCTCTTTCTCCATCCGAAACCTAATTACTATATCGATTATTCCATTTTAAATGTAGAAAATGCGAAGAATGCAAATGGAACGAGCAGACCTTATAACAGCGATAATGGACTCGAAAGATGACTGAATCTTTGTAGTACGCACAATGTTTTTGTGTTTATACATATATCTGTGCATATACGCATATGCGTGTGTGTAGTGAAAACTCACAAGTATCTCGATTTGTTCGTTCTACTCTTCTTTGGGGAAATTTGCAAATCTACGCAAATTTTTCTTACTTTGTCACATCATACATACATCATGTATACAGACATATGCATAAACACAAAAATAAGAAAAATGGTGTATAAACCGAACGTTAGGTTAATACAAACGTGAAAGAAGTGGAATCGAATTGCTGCTCATTCCTGTAATTATCAGCGACTTGTTCCGTTCTCATGTAAAGCACCAAAATAATAAATGGTATTTTTTGTCGACGTAATCGTTTGATCTTCGCTTTCGTGAGAAACCATCCTTTCTCGAGACGAATTGTCGCGAAAGAAGGCTGAAACATCCAAAATAACAGATAATTCACAGACGGGTCGAAACAATTCAATAGCAAACTGTGCTGCAGTCTTTACCCGTTATGAGGTTATAAAGGAAACTTTTTTACTTTACTCGGTGCGTGTAGCCATTCCAGTCGAAATCACACGATGTGTGGAACAGTATCTCTTCTTTTTCTTCAGCAGTTTACTCCGATATTGAAACAGCATCTCAAATCCGTAGCGTACCGTCGCGATTTATCCGGTAACTGCGGCACAGCAACGGCCACGATTGCGATTCTCGAAGTTTGAATTATCGATACGCCGTTGGCGCCCTCACGCTAGTTTCACTTGTACTGAATGGCAGTTTGCCGGCGCATACTCGCGATTTGACGCGGCCATTGATAACGGTTGTGTGACTATCGTGATGTCAAAGGCAAAAGTTTCAGCGGAATGGAAGAAACGAGTGAAATCGGAATACATGCGTTTGCGGCAAATGAAACGGTACAAACGTGCGGACGAGGTTAAGATTGCGTGGAACCAGAATCGCAAAACTATGACAGGTAAGTTGCGATCTCCCGCTCTCCTCGTTGACGCTCTCCTTTTACGAATCCTAACCTCTAAATCCTTCCTCTTCCAATAATTGGCCAGGAAATTAAAAAGCCTGGCTTCATGTGCCAGGTATACGTTGAAAAAATAAATCAGTTATAAAAATTCCATGTACAACATCTTGACGTGTTAGATAGGTTACCCTAGAATTCTTGACAGAATTGTAGATGACTCTGTGTGTATTTCGCTCCAAACCCAACCCCTACGAATATTTATTTCCTATTTAAGTAATTCCGATTATAAAAGATTTTTATTTCTTTATTTATATAAAACATAATAAAACGATGCAAAATCAATGTAGGCTTGTATAGTGCTGCATGATGCTCCAAATATATGATTTACAAATATACTCTAGCATGAATACAATATTTAATTGTCATTTGATCAAATTGAATACTTGGACTTATGTTCAAAAATTCCTTCCTTCTCTGCTTTTCAAGTATTTTTATACTTATTTTCTTATGTATTGGGAACAAAATTAAAAACAGTATACATAATTCCTGCATATAACTTTGCGCTGCGTCCATGTTTATGTATATTTATTGAATAGAGCTTCTTGTGGCTGAACAAAAACGTTGGGCCGATGGAAAAGCCATGTGGCTAGCTATGCAAGATATTCCGCCTCATCTTTCTTGTATGAAGAAAGCAGAAATAGCTAGTTCAGATGGTGATATGCAAACATGTCCTGTCAAAATAATTAATGCGGTTACTCCTATACCAACAATGTATACATGGGCACCTATACAACAGAATTTCATGGTGGAAGATGAAACTGTTTTACATAATATTCCTTACATGGGTGATGAAATTCTGGATCAAGATGGTACTTTTATCGAAGAACTTATCAAGAATTATGACGGAAAGGTATAAGAAACATTAATCACATTGGATATCAAAAGATCTTACTAATATAAATTTAATTTGATTGCTTTAGGTACATGGTGACAGAGAAGCTGGTTTTATGGATGATTCTATCTTTGTCGATTTGGTAAACGCATTAGTAAATTATGAGAAAGAAGATAAAGAAAAGGAGCAAACAAAAAAAGGAAAAGAATCTTTAAGAGAAAAAGATATTCAAAAGGAGGACGAGAAAAAGGATGTTGAAGTAAAGTGCGAAATAAAGACAGAGAGGATTGAAAATGGAAAAATACTGAGTGTTCCATTTCCATCGATGCATATATTCAATGTACAATAATTATATGAATGTGTAATATTTTAAATCTCTAGAACAGCTAGTTCATAATTATTATTTTTAGGCAATATCGAGTATGTTTCCTGATAAAGGCAGACCTGAGGAATTGAAAGAAAAGTATATTGAATTAACAGAAAGATCAGATCCAAATGTCTTACCTCCAGAATGCACGCCTAACATAGATGGTATAAACGCAAAAAGTGTACCTAGAGAACAGACAATGCATTCTTTCCATACTTTGTTCTGCAGAAGATGCTTCAAGTACGACTGCTTTTTACATCGTGAGTACATTATAATAAAGCAGTCTTTTTAATTATTCAAGTTGTATTTTGTGAAGAATAAAAGATGACATACTTAATAATAAATATAACATTTAGATAATTGGAGCTTCACTGAAATGCAACTGATCAGTGTTGTATATTGTATATTTATAAGTGTCCTAAGTTGAATGTTTATTAATTACAATAATTTGTGATTCCTGATTTATCGTAGCAGCCAGGGGGACTTCGCCGCAAGGTAAAGAACAACACTGCATACAAAACTAATGCATTCGATCAAAAGCTTTTTTTTGTTTAGCACAGAGGCATCGTCAAGGGCTCATCCACAATCATATTTCATTCATCGTCCATCGCTGTGTCTACTAAATTTTCCTCCATTCAACTCATGCCGCAAGTCATCCAAAAGAATGCATACATAGTGAGCTTATAATATTGCTTATAGGTCTTCAAGTTTGCCACCCGGGGCCTAATTTGCTGAAACGGAAAGGGCCCGATCTGAAACCGTTCTCGGAGCCATGCGGGACAGAATGTTACATGCATCTGGTAAGTCGTGTGCTTTCATATCAGTAGAATGATTTTGAAAATGCAACCCCGATATCGCAATTTTTTCTTGATTATATGTAATATCAATATGCGTCATTTGCGTTTTTTTCCAAATTCTTTTCTGATTGATCTTCATCCTGTATAATTAATACTTGATATTGCAATCTTTCCGCAGGAGGGGATGAAGGAAAAACTGGCGGCACAAGCGGCGGACACAAAGGAAGAGGAAGGTGACGAGAAGCGTGGTGGTCCTCCGAGGAAAGTACGAAAACAAGCGAGTGTCGATTCAGGAAACGAAGCGAGCAGTGAGGACAGCAATGATAGCAATAAATACAGTCAAGGAGGCAGTTGCCAAGGTTAATATATCGCTCATCGTTGTAAAAATAAATGTATGCAGTCTTACAACCGCTCACTGAGCGCTGCATGCACAATATCTTCCGCATAATGAAAACCCTCTAACAGGTTGTTACTGTTGAAATTAGATTTTAAGCAGAATGTTAATAAAGAGACGAGATCCGAAGAGATAATTGAGGATCAGGCGCAGCCTGAGAACCAAACGCCGTTTACTCTGTTGGGTCTTGATAAACGGATTAAGTTGGAAAACAAATTCACATGGACCGGTTCTGAGCAGAGCTTATTTCGTGCTCTACACAAGGCCTTTCCTGGTAATCCGTGCGCGTTGGCGCAAATCATGTTGACGAAAACGTGCAAAGAAGTTTACGAATTTGCGCAGAAAGAAGCATCGGACATTCCTGCCATCGAAAATCTCAAGGACTTTACACCGCCACGAAAGAAGAAGAAGAAACATCGTTTATGGTCAATGCACTGTCGAAAAATACAACTTAAGAAGGACTCGGGTGCGTCAAGTGGTCAGCTTAAATTCGTGCTAACTCTTTCATTTGTCTCCATTTCATATGTTTCATTTCGACAGGTGCTAACCATGTGCACAATTTTGCACCTTGTGATCATCCCGGTCGTCAGTGTGATAACTCATGCCCGTGTATACAAGCGCAGAACTTTTGCGAAAAGTTTTGTCAGTGCAGCAGTGAGTGCCAGAATAGATTTCCCGGATGCCGGTGCAAGGCGCAGTGCAACACGAAGCAATGCCCTTGTTATCTAGCCGTTCGGGAATGCGATCCGGATCTCTGCCAAACATGTGGCGCGGATCAATTCCAAATCACCAGGATATCTTGCAAGAACGTCAGCGTGCAACGTGGACTTCGTAAGTTTCGTCAAATTTCAATGAAGAATGAAAATAATCGTAAGTTTCGTCAAATTTCAATGAAGAATGAAAGTAATCTCGATGAATTCGAATTCCCGAAATTTCTACCACAGAGATAAACTTAAAGATTAACAAGATAAGACAAGAATGAGGATTTTGCTTCATTTTTTTTTGTTTTTTAGACAAACATCTTCTGATGGCGCCATCTGATGTAGCGGGCTGGGGTATTTTCCTAAAAGAATCAGCTGCGAAGAATGAATTTATCTCGGAATATTGCGGTGAAATAATCAGCCAAGACGAGGCCGATAGGAGAGGGAAGGTATATGACAAATATATGTGTAGTTTCCTTTTCAATCTTAACAATGGTAAGTACGAGATAGATGCAGTGGTCAATTTTATATGTTTAAAAACAATAAGAAATAAAAACTCTTGTTCGTTTTTAGACTTTGTCGTAGACGCAACACGAAAAGGAAATAAAATAAGGTTCGCCAATCACTCAATAAATCCTAATTGTTATGCGAAAGTGATGATGGTGAATGGTGATCACAGAATAGGTATTTTTGCTAAAAGAGCGATTCAACCTGGTGAAGAATTATTTTTCGATTATAGGTATGTTGTTATAATATTTTCGTTGACTTATTAACTATAAGTGAGATAAAAATTATGTGGCAATTTCCAGATATGGACCAACGGAACAACTCAAATTCGTCGGCATCGAGCGAGAAATGGAGTTTCTCTAAATATATATATGTATATATGTATTTTATGCGGATTATTATACGCGTATAAATGGCGCATTGAGCGAGTACATACAGCTGAAACGTTAGGAAGGAAATAAGCACTGCCGACTCGTACGCCTCTCTATTTTTAGTTAAATTTTTTTTTTATCTAATGAAATCGACATTAATTTTACAGAACTGTAGTTATAAGCTTCTTGCATGTATATATAGAGGAACTTCCTGAAATATGTTCGTTCTTTATAAATATTTCGAAACATACGAAAGTCTAAAAGTGAGAATATACGTATATATTATGGTATGTATGTATTGTAAATAAGAGGATTTATAAAATATTATTGATTCGAATGTATCTCATGAAGTTCTTATTACAACACTTTGCATTGATATCATCTCACATTTACTGTATTTTATACCTGATCGTAGTGAGTTCTTTATAATCATATAAAACGCGAACTTACGATGATCGATAAGTACTATTCAGTTTCAATATGATGATGCTTAGCTACTGAATTGAAATTGAGAACACATATTGAATTTCCACTCCTAATTATGACCCGATATATTTGCAAGAAACAAAATCATTCAGCAATATTCCAGTGAAACTGCGAAATGAGATAAATTCCAATAGATCTTGGAATTTGAAGACTTATATATGTAGGATAACATGTACCTGATGAGTGATCTCTCGATAGATAAATATCGCAGTTCATATTTCAACACACTGTTTCACATACGTGTGAAAAATGTCTATTAGTCTCACCGAAAATCGTCGTCTTTTTAGCTGTATGTGTGTATCATTTATTAAAACGTATTTTATGGAGAAATTATTCTTCATAATTCTATATATCCTTATAACCTGCTCTAATCCGTAATTCATGATCCCTGGAGCAAATATCGATTACATATTGTGCGTAACTTACGGACATAATAAAGGCACTCTCGTTTACTATAATGAGAATGTATGTGATTCGTGTAGCTCGTTATCATGCCTCGTGCAAGCATAATCGGGAAATTAATTAACTAATTACATCGATCGGCTCGAAAGTGCGCTTTAGAAGCTTACGGCTAATGGCGAAAATTACGTATCAGCATTTAATTCGGAACGCGTGTTTGAACGGAATCAAAATTGTCCATAAGACAACCTGTAGATCCAATGAAGCTGCTGTAAAAAGAACACGAATTTCCATTATATATATAAAAAGATAGAGATGATATAGCTAAGAAGAAAAAGAGAATTGAAATAAAATCGTAATTTTAAATAGTTTTTCTATTCGAATTTTTTACATCTCATATTTTTTCTTAATACAAATCTACTGATTTATTATGTCTTTTTAAATCGGAAAGATCGACTAAGAATACTACAGAAAATTGAAAATTTTACCGTTTCATAACTTTTTTTTCAGAATTTGTCCTTGCAACCCATTATATAAACGCAATTAGTGATCGCAAATCTTGTGATTAAAAGAAGTTTACTCGATGATGTGATGAAGATGGGTAAACACGCGGGCTTCCCGAACTCACAAGCAGTCTCTCGTCTGTCGTGTCTGGATCAAAGCGTCACGGACGACGAGCTTTCGCGCAGCTTACCGTGGAGTTATCGCGAAGGGACTGTAGGAAAGCTTCTCAGCAGTCTCTCCATGCAATTCGGCCACCAGTTGCGGGCTTCGCGGCCGCGAAAACGGTCGAGAGGATAGTTTAGCGAGTTGGAAGAGACGATTTACTTGGAAAAAAAAAGAAACGTCGTTCTTAAAAATAAATTCAAATTTTAATTACATTTCGGTACTTGACAATGCTGTCAGTTTAACGTCTATTCAAGATCCAATTTGTGATCGATCTATGTTGCACCGAAATTGGACTCTGCGAGGAAGTTCTCGTCGATGTGAACCGCGAATATTGGCCGGCTTTCTTCCTCACAAATAAAAGGAAGCTGAGGACAGGCGAACGCATTAATATGACGCCTTTGGACGGGATTATGTATTTGGTAGCGACGATCGTGAAAATCTGCGCATTTAAAATTTAATTGGATCCGAGCACTGGCAAATATTTACACGCACGTATTGGATTCGCCTGTGAGCCGCTTCGAAAGAGACCAATGTAGTGCTAGTACGGGACGAGCGTCGGTTAGCGCGAGATCGAGTCCCGCTCAGTAAATCCCGAAGATCCGGATCCGCGGGTAAGAAGAGAAAACACGCGCTTGACGAGCATGTCGCGAAGAAGGTGAAGTGCACGAGGAGCAACGCCGATGATACTCGACTCGGAGGAAGAAGCCAATTTGGATCGAGGCCAAGCCTGAGGGAATCTCGCCGCGGACATGGAGGAAGAAGGTAATGACCATTTCTGTCGTAATTATTTGTTAATGATTTCAATTGCACGCGGTGTCTTGCAAAAGAATTACAAGCCGTCTCATTGAAAACCTATTATTGTAGTTGCAAGAACAGCTGTTGTGTTTGTTCCCCGAGTGTTTAAGTTTGACGCTACTGCTAACTACACCGCTCGGCATCCTTGTACGAAAGGACAGGTTTTATTATTGAAATTTTATCCAAACCGTTTGAAAACAATGTTAAAGGTTGCTTATCAAAGCTTGTTTTGCATAATCTATAATTCGCAAAAAAATTCGAGAGTTCTGTTTGTATGAAAACATTTGAAGGGGAACGCGCGCGCGTAAATATATATAGGGTGTCTCAAGATTCTCGCGTGCGGAGTATACACAGAAAAAAATTCGTTTCAAATCAAGAGAATAAATATTCTCATATATAAGCAAGAATAATATAATCTTCTTAAAAAAGTTTTAGTCTTGATTTGATTGAATTTATATTGATGCAAGTATTACTTGAACTCAATTCAAGATTAAAAATCTTCTAAGAATATTATAATATTCTTGCTTACATATGAAAATATTTATCTTGATTTAAGATTATTTTTTTCTACTATATACAAGGAAATTTTTCATACTAGAAGAAGTAATATTTCCCTTAGTGAAAATGTCAGGAAAGGTCATTATTTATAGTGACCTTTCAATTTTCAACATAATACATCTTTGAAGCTAAGTCTTAGAATAAAATTCTATCCTATCTTTAAGTAAAGTCTACTTAAAATTGACGGAAGATAATTTTGTTACCTATTTGTTCGCCCGAAGCTTAGCTCGCGAGAAATTTTATTTTTTCAATCATTTGTTTCTCGTATACTATTGTTCGAACGCAATTTTGATAGTGGAAAAAGTTCCTTTTTTTGGTATCAAAAATCCCCCTGCACACCTCCGCATGCAAGAATTTTGAGACAACCTATATATACGTTCATAAATTCTGAAATGTCTCCTACATTATATGAAATTACAAATAGATTCTCGCAAATTATAAATTGTCTGAAGCGCGTGAAGTTTAAAAATAAGATCCAACGTAGAAGAGCTTTCGTGAGTAAAAACGAAGGAGGAGAAAGATTTAGTAATAGTGATCTATTGTAGACGGTATTATCGCATGAAATTTACACTCGCGTGAAGGAGTCATGCGTCTCGTTTTCCTGTTTAAAATTGCAATTTACCACGATATTCGTAACTCAACGCGACATTGAGAACGAAAGAACACTATATACATGAAAGCGCGTCATACGAATATAATGTTTTTAAGCGGAGCGGGTTTTTATAGTTGACAACACGCGCTTATGGTGAGAAAATGTTTTTATCATGCGACGTGACAGTCCACATGGAACGTACTACTTTTCGCTTTGCGAATGCAACTCGCAAATACAAAAATGAGGTAACGTGCGTCCAACGTGATGTGAGAAATTAAATATTTTAATATTGCTTTGTACGGAACATAAAAGCAATTTTATTTATTTATTATTTATTATTTTATTTATAAAAATCATCTGCTAGTAGGGCACCGAGACCCGTCAAATCACTTTACGCACTGTTAGGAAATGAAAAAATATATTAAAAAATATATTTTGCGAAATAACGCGAAGGCATTATTTGCGTAGCCCTTAATACCGGCACCTAAAGAATGAGATACGATTTTGTGTAAATGCCTTTGTATAGTGTTTATATATAATGTGCAAGCACATTCATCATATCACACTTTTATCGCGGATTTTATTCGCGAGACTTGACAATTGCGTTCTTACGTAATCTTACATTCAATGTTTGCGCGTAAGTAACGACGCGCGAGAATATATCTCGTATTTTTCTCTTTCTTATCTTTTCTCGTATTTTACTAAATATTTATTTACTTCGAATATATGTACACATATGTATATATGGCAATGTATATATCGTGCCGTGTAAACCGCAAGATACATTGACAGCAAGGAGGGGATTTACGCCGAGCACCCAAGACATTTAATTCCTCGCAACCTTTTGATTCGTCACATTTGCGAAAGCTGTGAATTCTTTTCCTTTTTTCCCTCTCGAGGAATGAATTGCGAGCATAAATTCGGCAAATTTAACTCCCCGCGAACTTCATCGATATCTCGCGCCGGTGTCCCTACGACATTCATGAATTTCGGCCCTCCACTGAGTTTCATAATCACGTCTACGTTGTATCGTCTTCCAAGTTTCATAATAGCAATCCTCGAGGAAACGAGGCCGCTCGGCTCACATGTTGCTCTTCGCCGAAGCGTATCTTACACCACCGTTGCTATCGCGACATGAAAGACATCTTCACTGGAAATAATACTTACACAATACGCGTCTTCATTACGTCTCGCCCTTTGAGCACAAGAGAGCGACAAATAAGGTTTTATTATTATTTACTTTTCGAAGTTCCCGAAGTTCACTCTGCGAGAAAAGTTCTTTTCGATCCGTCTCTTATAGCCGGAAGATCATCGAAGCTTTGATCTATTCGTCAAAAGTTGAATTTGCATTCATCATATATACATTAAAAAAAAAAGTAAGATTAATACACATAAAATGATGAAGATTATAGCTAAGAAGAATAAAAAAAAAGGTAATTTTTTCTATTCGAATTTTTTACATCTCTTGTATTTTTTAATATAAATCTATTGATTTGCTATGTATTTTTATACCTAAAATTGACTAAGAACTGATTAAGAATTTTACGAAGAACTAGAAATGTCTTGTAACCTTTAAGTGGAAGTTTTGCAGTGTGAGTGAAAAGTGATAATTTCATTGACATAAAATCGCGCCATCGGTAAATATTGCGTACGATGTAAAATAATATAGCACGGATACAATGAGCGCAATAATCGAATGATTTATATCTGTCGCGAAAGGGCACACACTGTGCCCGGCAGATATCTTCTGAGGTACACATGTCGGAGATTAATCGATATTTCGCGAGCAGCTCGTAAATTTTGAACGGACATCGTAGTCGCCGCGTGTTTCGGCTTACTGCTAATTTCGTCAGAGCGAAATCGACGCCGATGGAAACTCCTTCGGTGAGCGGGCCAAATCCGTGGTCTGAGGCTTATTTCCATCCCATTGGCTGTTTATTAATCACCGCGCGCACCTGGCATTAATAGCAAAGGGGGACCCGCGATTCGTTGCGTTCAATGCAAACATCGACGCTTACAAGCGGTTTATCCCATCGTCATCGTCCGCGAAAATACGCAGTTCCGATGACCGGCGGCAGTCCGGGAACGCACGTCCGAGTGCGCGTATTCAGGAACAACGGCTCCCGGCGGCTTCCGGTTAAATGCCGCTTTATGGTCCGGGCCGCGTGAAGCGAGTGCTTTTGTCCGGATAAAGCACTATATGTATATGCGTTGGCTTAATCCTTTCATTAAGTTGCCTCCTGTGCTCGTGTACGGCCTTATAGCCTTATAGCTCGTACGTATTATTAATGATAGTAACGGTACCCGTTAAAGATATGAGCAGTACCATTCCAGGTCGTTCTGGATTTTTATTTAACGCAATGGAGATTAATCGCTTGGATACGTGCGCGTTTCCTCCTGGAAGCAGCGGATGTCCTTTTCGTAATAGAATTAGCGGAAAACCTACGGTCAAGCGGACATCCGGTGGATTTGGGATGGTCCGTGTATCGTCAAAGCGATTAATTTTAATTGTATTAAGCAAAAATCCAGTGCTATCCGGAATGGTACCGCTTATGTGCTTAATGCAAAAGTGATAATCCTGGTGGCAGCGGCTTCCACAACTTCGTTCACCTGCTCGTTCGCGAACGCTTTAACGTGGCGGAACGTTGGCTGCCGCGCTAATCTTGATTGATTGTACGAAAGCTTAACTGATGTGCGATCGAATTATTATCATTACTATTATTATTATTAGTATATTTATACTATAGATGCTAAAGATATACCAATACTTTTACCTCATCTCATTGGCTCTTTATCGTATATTTAATTCTTTGGATGTAATTAATTATATATTATTATGTGTATAAGGTATACCTTATACCATGTTTTGATGAAACGTTACATCGTCATAAAACCGATTATTGGATGACCATTGCGACATTCCACGTGTCGAAAACACGTTTCACGATTTGCCAATGCAGAATTGCTATTATAATATTAATATTCAGCAGATCTCCTTCGAAACTTTGTGATAGAAATAAAACTGAATCATATTGGGAGCAACAGTTACAAATCGTGATACATCGTGAAACTGTTATTAAAACATTCACAAACGAGCAAGCGAAGCTGGAGAAGATCATCGACGATATTCGAATTGGTAAAACTTAATAAGTTATTAATTTCGTCTCAACCGGAGTAGCTTCTCACGCTTTGACGTTATTGTCGCTTTGTCGTTTCCCGCTTGTTTGATTTCAGCGTAAACAAAGTTTTGGAATTTTCAATATAAATTTGCTGTAACACAGGCTCGAAAGAAAACGTGAAATGACGAGATCGCAATTATGACGTCGCACGAATTTACTACTCCGAAAATACATCGCATCACGAATTACGAGAACTCGTGTCTCAAACTTGAGCCGAAGTCAAAACTCTGCGAGTGCTTTACGTTTTGATCAATCGTTAAAATATTTTCACACAGGACGGAGGGAGGCAGCTTTTATTTCCACTTCTTTTTATGAACGATAAATGCGAGTGTATGAGTTTCATGCATTTTCCCCTGTTTTAATAATGCCCGTAATATCTCCATGAGAGACGCGACGATTTAAAAAATACGATGGATTTTTAATATCAGTGTTTTGTACAAGGTGGCTTATTACGCAGAGAAAATGATCGCTGTGTTATTGGAAATAAACGTGCATGCACATACACGCTCAGTTGAGATTATTTTTATATGAAAAACCCAGTGCAGATGGAAGATCGCGAACTTGAGATAATAAACAACGGCAGGCTTAACTTCGTGAATCATCGTCTAAATTTCTGACAAACTTTTCCGAAATCAGAT